ACCATCTCACTCCATTGCTTTCCTTCTCCCCGCAGGGTGGTGGGCCCTCTGGGGCAGCCCAGCATGGGGCCAGCACTGGTGCTGTGGGCCTGGTTGACACTACACATGGTGAGCGGAGAGAGCGCAGCGCCCAAACCCATTGCAGGTGGCCAGCCCTTCGCTGTGGTGTGGAACGTGCCCACGGGCCGGTGCTGGCACCGCTTTGGTGTGGACCTGCCCCTTGGCAACTACGGCATTGTGGAGAACCTGGGCGGCCAATTTGCTGGCCAGAACATCACTATCTTCTACAAGAACCAGTTTGGGCTGTATCCATACCTGTCCCGCCAGGGCATCCCCCGCAATGGGGGCATCCCCCAGCGGGTGCCTCTCCGCACCCACTTGGGCAGGGTGGCAGGCGACATCCACCTCCGCCTGCAGCCTGCTTTCCGCGGCCTGGCTGTGGTGGACTGGGAGGAGTGGAGACCCCTCTGGGCTCGCAACTGGGGGGCCAAGAGGATCTATCAGGTGGCCTCAGAGCGGTGGGTGTGGGACCGGCACCCCCATCTGCCAGCCCCATGGCGGCTCCGTCTGGCCCAGGAGGAGTTTGAGCAGGCAGCCCAGGCTCTCATGGAGCAGACGCTTTTGCTGGGCAAGACCCTGCGCCCAGAGGGGCTCTGGGGTTTCTACCGCTTCCCTGACTGCTTCAACAGCAACTGGGCCAAGGAGGCCAACTACACAGGGCAGTGCCGGCCAGCAGAAGTACTGCGCAACAACCAGCTCCGCTGGCTCTGGGCTGCCTCTGCTGCCCTCTCCCCCAGCATCTACCTGCCGCTGATGCTGCCACAGGGCTTGCGCCACCGTTACGTGCACCACCGGCTGCGCGAGGCCCTGCGCGTGGCCGCCTTCGGGGCCACAGGCATCCTGCCCATCATTGCCTACTCACGCCTCTCCTACCGCCGCTCGCCCCGCTTCCTGGGGCTGGTAAGGGCCATGGCATGCTGGGCAGGGTTGGGGCTGTGGGGAGGGCACGGGTGGCTCTGCTCACAGCATCCAGACATAGCACTGTTGGTGGGGTGGTGGTGGTTATGCCAAACCTACACCCCTGGCCATGTCTCTCTGCCTTGCAGGCTGATCTGGTCCACACGATTGGGGAAAGTGCAGCACTGGGGGCTTCGGGACTCGTGCTCTGGGGAGACATGTCCTACTCGCGCTCAGCTGTGAGTATCTCTGCTCCCTGCCTCTGTGAGCAGGGCTGTATGTTGTCCCCCTGGCTGGGCACCAGGGCTGGCCATGGGCACATGGGGGACAGCAGGAAGGGGCTCAGGCATGGGATGGATGGGAAGGACATGGGATGGCCATGTCCCTGCTCAGGAGGGTGCAGGGCCCTCCAGGGAGGGGTGGATGAAGTGACACCAGTGTGCCCAGCTCCTGGAAGCTGGATTCACAGGGAGGATTCTCATGGCAGCCTTTCCCCCTTCAGGAGAGCTGTGCCAGCCTGCGCCACTACCTCGTGTCCACCCTGGGGCCCTATGTGGCCAACGTGACGGCAGCTGCCTGGGAGTGCAGCTACAGACAGTGCCACGGGCACGGGCGCTGCGTGCGCCGGCAGCCCCATGAGCTGGCTAGCTTCCTGCACCTCTCCAACTGGCTGGATGAGGGTCTGTGGGCACCCTTCCGCTGCCACTGCTACCATGGCTGGGAGGGCAAGGGCTGCACCCAGCGGGCCCAGCCTGGCCCCAGCACCTCCTGTCTTGCACGCACCCATGCCCACAGCTTCTATGGACACAACAGCCTCCCGCCCTCTGACACCTGCCTGCCGCAGGGTGTGTGGGGCCGGTGACCATGGCTGGGGACCATTGTGGTCCCCTTCCCCAGCATGCACAGCCCCGTGCCTTGGTGCCTGTTGCTGCCTGATGCCAGGGGATTGCTACCTCCTTAATTTAAATAAATCCTCTTGGGGCAGCCAGCATGGTCTTTGTGGGCAAGGCTGGGGGGGGGAGGGGGGGGGGGGGG